AGGGGAGACAATGGTCAATACGGGAGGGGGTGAAGTAGCAGTTTTGCACCCTACAGGCTAGGGCGCTCTCCTAATTATAAACACATGTTTACTGATAACAATTAATTACAAAAATCTATGCTGAAATACCACCTAACCAGTTTAAATGCATATTCATTACAAAATATAACTTCTCTGGCAAGATATTGCGCATGCGTCAACACACTAACGCAGCCATATTATGTACTGGCTGGTATATGCAATGGTGACCTTACGTGCAAGGTCTTCTTTCCATTTATTAAGGATGTCTATTGATAGAATTTTATCATATAAATCTATGCTAGGATGACTCCTCTTTATTTTAAATGCATGATCATTTGAAAATATGATTCCTCTCGGGAGATTTTGCGCATGCGCGAGCACCGTCTCTGGCGTGTTGTACCGACTAAAGAAAACTGCATAATATAGCTTGTTGTGGCAGAGAGGGGTAAGAGACTAAGGAAAAGCGTCAGGGAAGATAGCTGAGGGGCGGTAGAAGAAGAATTAGGCTGAGCAAGGCAGAGGGGAGACAATCGCCAATACGAGAGGGGGTGAAGTAGTAGTTTTGCACCCTACAGGCTAGGGCGCTCTCCTAATTATAAACACAGGTTTCCTGATAACAATTAATTACAAAAATCTATGCTGAGATACCCCCTAACTATTTTAAATGCATATTCATCACAAAATATAACTCCTCTGGCAAGATATTGCGCATGCGTCAACACACTAACGCAGCCATATTATATACTGGTTGGTATATGCAGTGGTGATCTTACGTGCAAGGTCTTTGTCCTATTTATTAAGAAATGTCTACTGATAGAATTGTATCATATAAATCTATGCTAGGATGACTCCTCTTCATTCTAAATGCATAATCCTTGCAAAATATTATTCTTCTCAGGAGATATTGCGCATGCGCGAGCACCATTTCAGGCGTGTAGTACCGACTAAAGAAAACTGCCTGATATAGCTTGCTGTGGAAGAAAGGGGTAAGAGACTGAGAAAAAGTGGCAGGAAAGATAGCTGAGGGGCGGTAGAAAAAGAATTAGGCTGAGCGAGGGACAGGGGAGACAAGTGTAAATACGGGAGGGGTGAAGTAGCAGTTTTGCAACTTACAGGCTAGGGCGCTCTCTTAATTATAAACACAGGTTCAATTAACAATTCCTGATAACAATTAATTACAAAAATCCATGCTGAGATACCCCCTAACCATTTTAAATGCATATTCACCACAAAATATCCTCTGGCACGATAATGCGCATGCGTCAACACACTAACGCAGCCATATTATGTACTGGCTGGTATATGCAGTGGTCAGCTTACGTGCAAGGTCTCCTTCCTATTTATTAAGGGATGTCTACTGATAAAATTTTATCATATAAATCCATGCTACGATAACTCCTCTTTATTTTAAATGCATAATCATTTGAAAATATGATTCTTCTCGGGAGATATTGCGCATGCGCGAGCACCGTCTCAGGCGTGTAGTACCGACTAAAGAAAATCTGCATAATATAGCTTGCTGTGGGAGAGAGGGGTAAGAGACTGAGGAAAAGCGGCAGGGGAGATAGCTGAAGGCGGTAGAAGAAGAATTGGGCTGAGCAGGGGAGAGGGGCAACAATGGTAAATACGGGAGGGGGTGAAGTAGCAGTTTTGCACCCTACAGGCTAGGGCGCTCTCCTAATTATAAACACAGGTTTACTGATAACAATTAAATACAAAAATCTATGCTGAGATACCCCCTAACCATTTTAAATGCATATTGATTAGAAAATATTACTTCTCTGGCAATATATTGCGCATGCGTCAACACACTAACGCAGCCATATTATGTACTGGCTTGTATATGCAGTGGTCACCTTACATGGAAGGTCTTCGTCCTATTTATTAAGGGATTTCTACTGATAGAATGTTATTATATAAATCCATGCTGGGATGACTCCTCTTCATTTTAAATGCATAATCTTTGCAAAATTATTATTATAGGCGGGCATGGCACACAGGAGTTAACTCACTAAAATGTTTCTCATCATACGTACAGGACGCAAGTTTAGACTATAACGAAACATTGAAAAGAATTCAAAGGTATTTTTGATAACACAGGTTTAATGATAACAACTAATTACAAAAATCTATGCTGAGATACCCCCTAACCATATTAAATGCATATTCATCACAAAATATAACTCCTCTGGTAAGATATTGCGCATGCGTCAACACGCTAACACAGCTATATTATGTACTGGCTGGTATATGCAGTGGTCAACTTACATGCAAGGTCGTCGTCCTATTTATTAAGGGAGGTTTACTGATAGAATGTTATCATATAAATCCATGCTAGGATGACTCCTCTTCATTTTAAATGCATAATCCTTGCAAAATATGATTCTTCTCGGGAGATATTGCGCATGCGCGTGTACCGTTTCAGGCGTGTAGTACCGACTAAAGAAAACTGCCTAATATAGCTTGCTGAGGGAGAGAGGGGTAAGAGACTGAGGAAAGGCGGCAGGAAAGATAGCTGAGGGCGGTAGAAGAAGAATTAGGCTGAGCGAGGGACAGGGGAGACAATGGTAAATACGGGAGGGGGTGAAGTAGCAGTTTTGCACCCTACAGGCTAGGGCGCTCCCCTAATTATAAACACAGGTTTACTGATAACAATTTATTTCATAAATCTATGCTGAGATGTCCCCTAACCATTTTAAGTGCATATCCATCACAACATATAACTCCTCTGGGGAGATATTGCGCTTGCGCTCACACACTAACGTAGCCAGATTGTGTACTGGCTGGAATATGCAGTGGTCAACTTACATGCAAGGTCGTCGTCCTATTTATTAAGGGATGTCTACTGATAAAATGTTATCATATAAATCCATGCTAGGATGACTCCTCTTCATTTTAAATGCATAATCCTTGCAAAATATTATTCTTTTCGGGAGATATTGCGCATGCGTCAACACACTAACGTAGCTATATTATGTACTGGCTGGAATATGCAGTGGTCAACTTACATGCAAGGTCGTCGTCCTATTTATTAAG